ACGCAAAATGATGGAGGCAGAGAAAGATGCACTCGAGGATTCAGCCTTCCGAGGTCTTTTCATGGCACCAAGGACCCATCTTTCCGCCCTCCACAGGGCGCCACGCAACACGAAAGAGACAATCTGATGTGTCCGAGGCCACCAGAGGAGGGGGAGGGCTGTGCTCAATTATTGGTAATAATAATAATAATAACAATAATAATAATAAACAAAAGAAGAAAAAGAAGATAAAACAGGACGCAAGGAAGGATTATCTTCGGCAGCATCTTGCGGTGGCTTCTCTGGCGGAGATAGAGAATATATATCTATATACAGGCAAGGCAGGGAGGCTGGGGAGGGTGGTGCTGGCACCATTCACCCCATGTCCCCCTCCCCTCCCGCGTCCTTCACAAAGGACGGGCTATCAAGTCTGTAACTCGCTAGGTGATCAAGTCCCAGTCGAAATCATCAGGGATTTCCTCATTGGCGCCTGGAGGAGGCCCTGGAGGCCGAGGGACCAGATGGTGAGCTGAGCCAAAGACAAGAAAGAAGAGAAAGGAAAGAAAATTGTTAGAATAAAAAAAGTCACTCTTTTTCACAGTGGGCCCTTGGGCAAAAGAAAGCATAAGAGATTCAGGCCTTCTTCCTTCCAACAATCTAACAAGCAAGAACACTACTGGCATTTTCTCCTTGTCAGACAGCACCTACCGATGTCTGTAGGTGGTCTGCTGTGAAATTCTCCACAGCAGCTTCTACAGAGGTTAAGTTTCAGCCTCCTTAACTTTCCTTACAGTTGACTGCTGATAGAGCACAAAGGACTTCTTCAACAGAAACTTCTCATGTAAAGTTGCTTTCACTGAGGGTGAGGCTGAGCTAGAAGACTATTTATGTGAAGTGAAAGAAGTCAGGCCACTGAAATCCTAAACCTTGCCAGAGTTATGGCAGAGGCCTAAATGGAGGGTCCCTTGCAGTCTGGGCTCCCTCTCTGCCCTCAGTGCTCTGCCTGATTATTAAGTGCTTTGGGAGAAATGCACAAAGGGCTCGGGAACTTGTTCTTTAATGTTCATTGATAAAATATGCTTTAATGTCACCCCTTACCTGGGCGATTATATCCTGGAGAGTCCTGGGTGGAAATCTGGTACATAGGAGATGGCCCGGAGAAGAGATGGGGAGGCTGGGGCTGACCATAGGAGTTCACTGTGAAAGGAATAAAAACAAAAAAAAAAGCAACATGTTAACATTCTGATCAGCTGTCTTGGTTCTGACTGGGTGGCAGCTCAGCCACAAAGCAACTCACTCAGACCCACGGGATACTAAGGAGATGTTCAGCTGTTGGGTCCTAACTGCAAGCTATAGCTTGGTCAGAGATCTTGCTCTTGGAAACAGCAGGAGTTTCTCTATTATTGTAAAAGAAGAAAATTTTTATCCCGAAATGCCACAAGCTGGCTCAGTATCATCCATTTAGTTCACTACTAGATCACACGCACCATCACTGTCATATCAAGACCATGATATCCTCTCTGCTCTCCTCAGAGTGCATCTTCCTACTCCCTGTCCAGTCAGTATTTCTCCAACACGGGTGCAAGAGCTTTCCTCTTTATAGCTCCTGCCATATAGAACAGAAATCTCTCTACCTTGCCATTCCTTTCTGTTGGAAACCTACAAAAAACACCACCCCCTTCTCCTTGTATGGGTTTACCTATTAAATGTATTTCTGCCTGGAGAGTTTGCCTGTCAATGGTATGCATCACACAATAACAGTCTGTCTAGGCCACAGACATAGGACATCCTAATTTTTTAAAGCCAGAGGAATCTGAGTTGCTACAAACAGCTCTGACAGCCCGGCCCAGAGTTGCTCGGTGCTACACTGCCTGGCGAGGCAGAAAGTAGTTCAAGATATTTACAGAATTGTGCCTTCATTTACATGTCATTTCAGTCTCCTTCCTAATTACCTTGGTTCATGGATTGCTCCTGTTTGCCACTGTTCAGGGCACAAGAATCAGAGATTCGGGGTGGCTGCTGTGGGCTAACCAGATGAGGGAGCTGACCAGTCTGGGTAAGGAAGTGATTAAGGGAGTCACAAAGGTTGGCAATATGGTGTTGATCCAGCGTCCAGTTCTTCCGCTCAGCCTGGCGCAGACTCTCCATCAGCTCTGCAGAGGACAACAATGTCAAAGACAGCATTCACACTGTGGTCTTCCCTGCAAAGAGCTTCTGTCTTCTACTCCTAAATCCTACCTTCTCCCCACAAACCCAACTTCATTGCTTCGAATCTGTCACCAAACTCCCGGAGAGCTCTGTATCTAGGATACTGTCTCACTGACTCGGGTAAGGGAGGGAAGAGTAGGAGGGAAAAATCTCAGTTAGCTTTCTGACATACTTTTATGAATTCATTCCCCCTGCCCCAAATTCTTGCAGTGTTCAAGTGCTTCAGGTTCTTTAACAGAACCCATGAAGTAGGACACCTCAATTTACAAATAGAAAAGTTGAATGACTGAGAAACCCATGGATTTGACATAGTTACACTGAAAAAAAGATCTGGGCACAGCACTCACATATTCTAGACTACAGCCCTAGCCACTGAGTCACTAGAACTAGTCACTAGGCCAACACTGACCTGAGAATTGGGAGTGCTCAATGCTAGACCAGTTCAGCCGGTTTACCATCTTGAAGCTTTCCTTCAGGGAATCAATGTTGGAGCACCAATCAGGGGGAAATGCTGGAAAGAAATGGGGACAAGATTATTCCAGTACAGACCACCCTTCCCCTCCATCCCTTAATACAAAATGATTGGCCCCTCTTTAACAAAGAGCTTGATGCTACAGTAGCTAGAAGTCCTTTCTCCCTTAGAAGACTGGGGATGGTGCCTCCTTTTACATTTAGCCCCTGACTTTATCCTGCATCCCTAAACAGAATCCCAAAGCCAGTGTGGATGTATCCTCCTTTCCTTCAGTAAGGAAACAATCTCTCTCTCAGATTTTATCATAACTGGCTTTCGCCCTTTTGTCCACACACAACGTAAGCCCTACTCAGGGAAAGCTTGCTTGTGGAATTTCTGTCTGGGGGCTCCTCTCTGCTCCCTCTTCCCCACCTGTTCTTCCCATCACCCCTGACTCACCAAAGCCAGCATTGTTGATTGAAGTCTGTGACTGCTGCTGCTGCTGGTGCTGATGTGGCTGCTGCTGTGGGTGGGAGTGCGGGTGATGTTGTTGATGCTGGTGGTAGCCTCCATGCTGCATTGGCGGTGGGTGCATGGACATCACTGGTGGAGGACCATAACCTTCACCACCCTGCTGCTTTCCCCCTTGGGATGGGCAACCCTCTGGGGTTGGAGTGTGGAGTGGGGGAGCAGCACCCACTGATGAGGGGCCTTGCTGCTGCTGCTGCTGGTACATGTAGTAGTTGTGGTTGGAGGGCTGCATGTCACCAAGAAGAGAAGAGAAACCTGCCGAGTAAAAGAAAGAGGAGGCAACTTTAAGAGCTGCCTGGATCAGACATCTGCTTAAATTATCCATCTCTAATTTCACACTGCTCATTCTGCTATTTATGAAGCTTTTGGAGTGCCCTCTGCAGGCTGCCAACAACTATCACCTGCACAGTTATGCCCTCACTGTGTTCCAGACTTCTGTTCAAAACAAAAGGCTCTATAACAAAGCCCCAACAGGATTTCAATTTCTAGTACAGAATTAGGCACTTACTTTCCTCCTTGGATTTTTCCTATATTTACTAAAATAAACCATGCTCTCCTGAAATTTCACACACGTGTTGTTTCCCTAGAAATCACCACTAAGTAAATTTAAAACATTTAGAAAACAAATAACTTGATAAATCTGACTTGCTGTTTCCAAAAGCTCCCTTCAGTTCCCACCTTAAAAGCAGCTTGCTCAAGAACCTTCACAATTTTTCTCATACAGATCATTAAGAGGTCACACATTCTACTGTTTTTGTACGAAGAGCACATTGCACACATCAGGGCCCCTATAAAGTCCTCCTGACTCATTGGGTGTGTCATTTCTATGCTCTTGTATTTCAAGCATCCCCTACATGCAAAGTGTTCTCCATTCCTCTCCACATCAGAAGCTCAGCATATCTCTTATGTCTGCTTCCTCAGTTCATTCCTCTCTTACTTGTGGAACCTCTGGGAAAAATCACAGTGAAGGGTGTTACATGCCACTAACCTGAGCTACCCATTTCTTTCTTTGAGTGCCCTTACTTGACCATCTGCAAGCAAGCCTCAGTTTTTCACTAGATCCAAAATCAACCCTTAGAGCATCCTACTAATGCGATAGGGTAAAAGGATGAACACTGTCATCCTGATTCAAAAGTTGCCCTAAAAATTTCCTCAAAAACTGCAGGTTTTCCTAGACTACCTTATAGCTGAAGACAAGGAGAAAAAAAAAAACAGACCGCTGCTAAGCTTTTACAGAGGCACACACTGAGTCAAGGTGGTTCTCTACATTTTTGTAGCTTGCTCATTCTACAACGCCTCATACAACAGGCTTCTACTATGAATCTCAGCATTGATTCAGATGAAAGCAGTAAAAGTAATAAATTTTTATTTCGCTGAAGCTACAAGTTCAGGAGGGTTCTCCTAGAGTAGCAAACTTTGCCTGCACTGCATGATGATTGACAGCACAGGTGAGAGGCTCATCTCAATAATATATTTCTTTTTACACCAGACTAATACTTAGAAGAATGTTTAAAGGTCGGAACAACAACTGAAGATTTTTCTGAAGCGTTTCCCGTGAGCATCTCATCTCATCCCTACAGCGATTCTGCCCTCTGGTGGCTGCTTCCTCAACTCCCAGACATGGAAGCTATGAATGGAGTTGTAGGCTCTGTCTTCCGTGCTCTTGATCCACAAAGCTCAATTCTCCAAGGCCTTGTACAATCCTAGTTTTAACAGATCTGAGGAATGACGACTTTCCACTGTCCTTTTGGAGAAACTCCACATGGAACAATTCCCTTCCTCTTATGGTTTCTAGCCTGACAGATTGTGAATACTTCTCCAACATGCTTTTTTTCAGGACTTAATTTCTCTAAGCTTCTGCCATTTTAGTATTTGCTTTTGTATCAACATAAGGTATTTTTAAATCATTATCCTTTTTATTCTGAGCAATAGATACAGGACATGCGGATTTCTTCTCTGCTTCTGGCAGAACTAATTACAGCATGCCAAAGAAGGAAAGACTGTTTGCACAGGCTCCTAAACGAGGAAAGATCTGAGAGATACCAAGGATAGATCACTGGACAAGACTGTGTGGGCAGATACCTGCTCACCCCACATGACACATATAGTTACTCACCATGCTGAGAGGAAGAGGATTTCTCCAACATGGATTTGTAGAGATTTCGGAAGGACCAGCTAAGATCCTGGAAGTTGATCTCAGAGTAGGAGAACTTGAAGTCATGGTTGGCACTGTACAGCGGGGGTGGCACATCAGCCCCTTCACGGCCCTGCCCCCCTGCTACGGTAGAGGCAACATCCACAGGCCCAGCACCCTGCTAAGGAAGGTAGAAGTAAGGCCTTTAGTTTGTAGTAAGTTTTGTAACTCAAGACAGGGTTCAGAGACTAGATACAAGTAGAACATACACTGATATCCCATACCACTTAGCTCATCTCCCAACAAATCTTCCCAAATGCCCTTTTCCTTGAGGAAAATAAGCCGCCACCCTCCCTCTGTAGCACACTGGCTCCAGCCTTTTCCTCAGCTATCTAATACCATTGTGCTTTTATCCTTATCCCCATCCAGGCCTTTTTTAAAATTCACTTCCTCCTTATTTTCTCTCCCTGCAATTTCTGCTTCTTCCCTTCTTTTTATTTTTGCTTCTACCACCATTTTCACAACTCCCTCTCTTCTCACCACTTCGCTTTTCCATTCACACACTCCTCCTCCTCTCCTTTTCCCCTTTTCCTCCTCCATAAGGCTTCTATCCTTTTCCCTGCTGCTCACCTGACTGTAGTTGGCAATGGGGGCGGTGCTCTGGAGCGACAGCTGAGGGGTGGCCTCAGGTGGCAAAGAGGCTTCTGTGCTGACTGGAACAGCCCCTCGGGGGCTTTTACTTGCCTCTTGCTCTGGGGAGTCTTGTGGTATCTGTGGATGAGGAAGAAAGAGAAAAGGAAAGGATCAGAAATCAAAAACAGATGGAGAAGTGAAACTGCAGATGGGAAGCCAGCTCCCCTGCTGTAGAAGTTCACGGCTTAGAAAAGAGGACTGGGCCTTAGACACTGAAAAGTCAGGATAATGGACTTTAAACAAGATTAACTTTGCTACTGAACAGCAGCAACAACAGCCAATCAGCAGGATATACATGCTAGTTCATTCAGTCCTAGCCTTTGTCTCCCCATCTGTACGCTCTGCCCCCAAAATGATACCATGGTCTGGTGCTGGAAGGACTCCTTGGAACAAGAAGGGAATTCACCCTCCTGCTCCATGCGGTCTGGAAAGAACAACACTCACGTCATCATCTGGAGGATGCCGCCTCTTGCGAGATATATCTGGACACGTATCTATTGTCCAATAAGAGCCCTGGAAAGAAGACCCATTGGTGAATGCATGATTAAATCAGAAAGCGTCCTGAAGCAGGGGGTTACTAACTGAAAGAATGCAGCACCAGCTAACCACAAGGACCACTCTCTAGAACATCAGACAACTGAGACTTGGGTGTTGGAAAGAGATTCCTCTCTTGCATTGGGTTGTATTGAACAATGAGGTACGATGCTACTGGTGGAAGGCAGAATGCTCTACATTTCCATCACTCTGAGACAGGATACCAAGAAGAGCAAAGGACGTTTTGATCCAAGCTAGGCCAACTCTTTTGGGCCTGCACATCCCCTTCAGTACCTTCCTCACAACATGAATTTGTTATTGACTGACGAGAACCAGCTCATGTTCAGATTGAGCAGAGACAGCTAGAAGGATCACTCTTTTTCCATGGTTGTTAGGCTCCACTTTGAGTACTGTGCCCACTTGGGGGGTTCCCAGCGCAAGACAGACACTGACATGCTAGAAGGGACCACCATAATGGTGGAACTAAAACACACGACGTACAAGCAGTTCACGCTGTGAGATCTGTTTAGCCTGGACAAGAGAAGGCTAAGGGGATCTAACCGCTGTCTTCAACTGTGTAAGGACATTAAGAAGAAGACAGAATAAAACTCTTCTCAAAAATGCACAGCACAAGAATAAGAGGCAACAAATACAAGTTACAAAAAGGGAAATTACAATCGGATATAAAGAAAAATTTCTTCTCGATGGTGGTGTGGCAGTGGAACAACTGCCCAGTTGTGGTATCTCCATCTTTGGAGATATTCAAAACTCAGCGAAGACCTCAACAACAGAATCTAATTGTCCCCATCTGGGAGGAGGGGGGGGGTACGGGTTGACCTCCAGAGGTCCCTTTCAACATAACATAGTCTATAATTATGTATTTGTTTTCTGAATAAGTATAAAGAGAACTCTAGAGTGTGATTTAGCTCATTTTCATCTCCAGTTGAAATAGAAACAATCAGTGACAAGCACAGTACAGGTTTTCATTATAAACCCAGCTCAACATGACAATGAACACCTGCAAACATATACACTGAAGTCAGTTAGGATTTCCTGGAATAAGCCGTATAATCAATGGTATTTTTGAGCTGTGATCTTCAAAGATATACTACTTCCATTTATAGATGCCAACTGAGCACCACTTAGTCCTTTAAATATAACCTGAAATAAAAGGCCTGAGCAAGTGGCCCTTTCTGGTAACTTTACGATGTGGGGAAGGAGACAACCCTTCTGTCTAAATACATAGCTTCTTGTCCCCACCATCTCCTTCTGCTTGTTTGTCAGGGTTTTTTAACAGTAGTAATATCTGCATGCCAAGATGCCAGGTCTTGGTTTTGCTAGAAATTCCCCTTTACAGTCTATATATACTAACAGAGCTTTATTAGTCCTTACTTAGCCAACAAATTCCTAAATTCTTGAGTTTTACTTGTAAATTATTTCTAAAGATTTGAACTATCTGATGGTGACATTTTTTTCCCCAACATCAAATGGTCTGCAGTCTAAATAGGTAGTAGTTCTGCTCTTACTTCCATAGATCTTGCCTCCATGAAACCCATGATGTCACATCATAGTCCTGCCATTCACCAGCAGCCACTACAGTCTTACATAATAGAACAGGTTGGACTAGACCCACATTTTACACATAAAGATCAAGAAGAAAAAGAAACAAAACTAACAAAGTACATGCAACCCCATTTTTTCCTTCTTCCACTATCTTTAAAGTCAACCAAAGATCATAGATAAGAAAAATTATTGCTAAAACCATTAAGGCCCCTTTACAGGTTCCCTTTAAGTGAATACTTCTGTAGCCAAAGGACTGCAGTAAATCTTACTACTGCTTCCATTTTTTGCCTACACTTTAGGTTTCAAATTCCAACCATGGGTTAGAAAGGGCAACCCCATCTTATTCCCTGCAGTTTTAAATTGCTTGCCCAGGAGCATGCAGTTTTCTTACCTTCCCAGGATCATCTCTTGGTCGAGGCACCTTCCGAAAACATTTATTCAGAGAGAGGTTATGACGAATAGAGTTCTGATGAGGGAGTAAGAGATACAGGTAAATGCTAGAACAAAAACATTGTTGTAAAAAAAACATACTTCTGAGTATGCCCAAGAGCGGGTAGAGAAAATAGAAGGACGGTACATACTCAAAAGCCAAAGCTCACTACATATACCCAGAAAGGAGCAGAACAGAAGCTGTGGAAAGGAATGGATTAGGATGAATAATATGGGGCTGAACCACCTATACACCTACAGAAGGTTTGTTTATCTTGGTTGTGGTCTTTTTGAATGCTCCTTCTTAAGGGGCCACCACATACATATAACAAAATTCTCAGAGAAAATGGGACTTCTGGCTCTGCATTTTCTCCAGTTGATCAACTTAATTTCACGTTTGTCTCTTTATTTTGCTCAATGAGGATATTTTGCACAGAATTAAGAAAATAAGTCTTATAATTACACAAAAAGGGTACTTTAGCAATGCAAGTCCTCACCTTCCAACCAATACCAGCATTTTTGTAGTAGGGAAAGATCCAACGGTAGATCTCACTAAGTGTCATCTTCTTGGCAGGTGATGAGTTGATGGCATACGTGATCAAAGTGGCATAGCTGTAACGTGGCTTCCCATCTTGGTGCACTGCAGCCTCATCCTTACTCAGGGTGGCATTGGGATCTGTCGGTGAGCCTGGGGGACACTTTCGGGCAGCCCCTGGAGGTCCTGCTTGTGATGAACCCCCTAATTTTTCAATAGTAGCCCTTAAAGTAAGCTGTGGGAGCCAGTCTATGGAAGTGAGGCTGCTTTCCAGGTCAGAGGCCATGATGCTGGAAGCTGGATTATCTGTGAGGAGAAAGGACCAGAAAGGGAACTCCTGAGATGTAAACAAGGTGAAACCTAAGAACAGAAACATCCATTTGCACTCCTCCTCTGCTTCTCCCCCTATCACAAATACCTGTGTGAAAATCATCTGACCTCATATATCTTACTCACAGCCAGAGTCATCCAAAAAGGCCTATGACCATGTCTCTGGGAGGACCATCCTTCCTGATAGCAGCTCAGACAGTGCTGATGGTAACATTGCTAGGACAATCTTACTCAGAGCATCTGAATTCTTCCCAGGTAAAGAACTACGATCTATTCAAAGCAAGTGGAGCCTCTTCAGTAGCTGTATCACATTCACTTCTTTATTATATAAGCAATATAACCTTGTGACCCTTAACCAAGATTACCTATGATCCAGTAGGTTTACTGTGTCGGGTAAGAGGTAAATCATAGCTAAAAGGGAATACTCCTTCATACCATATACAAACCACAATTTAATTAGATCATCTGGAAAAGTCAGCACTGTGACTACCTTAATTTGGGAGGAAATTAATTTCTCTCGAAGGCCTAGCCTCTCTTTTTGCATCAGGTGACATTATAATGAATCCTATTCCTTAGAGCTAGGATTACATATCTCATTTTAAAACACCAAGATCATGCATAATTCTATATATAGATAATTACATCTACCATGTCGAGGTGGAACAGACTATATTAAGCTCATAATAGTTAAAGCATTGCTTACCATAACCCATTTTTCCTAAATGTACATATAATTTTATTGAATTATATCTTGCTTAATTCACAATGTAACAGGCAAGTATTTTCCCCAAATCTGAGACACAAGAAAAACTTATTTGTCCAAAGTCACACAGATTTGCCACAGGGTAGAAACAGACTCAGGATCTTTCCTCTCATAAATATTATATATTTCCCCTCATAAAAATAAAACATACCTGTTCAACATGTCTAACACTTGTACCTATGTTCTTCTAGTTAACAATTGTTTTATATGAAGAAAATATTTAGCAGCATGAACTTGTATACTTAGCACACAAATTTGTATGCTGTCTCTTGTAGTAGTCAAGGCAGCAGAAAGATCATCATTCTTACTCATAATCGGCTGCATCACTATGCCTGGAGCAATCCCTTGAAGTCTGGACTGAGGTAGCTAAGTTTCCATGGCCACAACCTGCACTGCTTTGCACTTATTCTTTGCGTAAAGAGAAGAATCATGTCTTGAAGGGCTGCAAGTTCTGTGGCTTTCATTTTTTAAATTAATCTTTTGAGGATTAGATGATATTATCTTTAAGCATGCTAGTGCATACAAAAGGTAAGCAAACACACATGCACATACTTATGTACACACTCATGTAACAAATTAAATACATGCATACATGTAAGAGAGAACAGACCGACATGAATACACTCTGCTTAGGAAAGATTCATCAGCAGACACCTCCCACCAAGTGCATCACTCAGATGAGTGGATCAGATGAGACTGGGAGACACCCATCTGCATGAATATCAATTAGATGCTCATTCTAAAAATAGGCAATTTGTTATTTGACAATAACACAGTGTGGATGCACAGATCCAGAGACAGATGCACCCAGCATTTTGACACAGAAGCTCCTTGTTCTTCCCCCACAACCATATGCATTATACCTTGCACTTCTGCAGTGAAGTGTTGTCACAGCACAAAAGTACTTAAGAGTCTACACTCCAACACATTTGTATGCACTAAACCTTTCATTTTCATGCATGTGCTTATCACACCTCTTAGGGCTCAAACACCTACCTAATACCCCAACAAAATCCATCCCTCAACCACTACAAGCAGTGGCTCCAAAGCCCTGGGCTCAGAAAACACCTCCTAATTGCACAGCTACCATTATCACTCACACTCATATGCACTCACAGACTGAAAAGTAAAATTGCAGACTACAGTATCTGTAGAGAATGGAAACATTTTTCTGTTTGTGGAGAAAAGAAAAAGCCCAACTGCTACTATCTATCTACACATCTGCCACACTATCACATATGATAGTGATGACTACTTGCTACACAGCTAACTAGACGATCAGAGCTGCAAAAGGCTTTCCCTTATCTACCCTCCTCAAGTTGTTGTTTATTGAATAAAGCTCTTTTTGGATTAATTGATCTAATATCAAACATTTAAATTTTTTTTTTTTTTAAAAGCAGCACTATTTCTTCCTGAATTATACAAAGGTAAAGCAACAATGTATTTTTATCCAGTGAGGATGGACGGACTGCTGAGGTATCCACCTAATTGAAAAACAGCTACACTTGCATGGTAACTTTCAGATACAGACCTCACTAAAAGTAGTATTCAATTTGGGAGAAAACAAACATGAACTAAGTATCAGTTGAATGCCTAATTTTGTAAGTGTGCCTCATATAAATTTATTTTCCACAGTGCAATCAGAGAATAAATTACTGCTGCTTATCATATGGATGTTAAACCATTATGAAATATCAGTGGTGCTAACAATACATATCCAAAGTAAAATAATTACAAATTTCCCAACCACCACTACCACCCCCTTCCTTTTTCTTTTTTTTTAAGACAAGCACAGAAATCAAGAAAAATAGGTTATAAAAGCCTATGGCAGATTAAGATACCAATCTGGAACACCAGAAATTCAAACAGCAGAAGAAAATGCTGCACTTATCACAGAGTTTCAGATTTGCCCAGGTTATGTCAATAGAGCATTTGGGATGACTGTCTATGCAGTAAAACATCAAGTTGATATGCAACACACCAATCATCAATTACACAAGCTTTTGCGTATTTGTGTAAAATACACTTGTCAGAGAGACAAGCAAGGTTAGAATTTGGTCACATTACACCCACGCTAAGAATCTGAATATTTTCATTCCCTGGTTTATAAAAATCTTTGACAAGAAAACAAAATACCAAAATCTTAACTAAATTTAAAAAAAAAAAATCTGTGTATACATATGCACTAATCACCCAGTACTGAAACAACTACATTTCCATGAAACACAGCAGCTCTTTAAGAACACATACACTAGACAGTAATTTAGGACAGAAAGTGAAGACCCAGACCCAATAAAAATCACATGGGAAATTTCAAAGCAGTGGAATAAGATTTTTTTTCCAAGTTTAAACTTGATCATGTTACTGGATTTCTAAGTCTGTATCCTGGCAATATGGGATCTGTAATAATCAGGCATAGTCAAAACTCAGGTAAAGTGGCAATTCTAGAACAACTGTCACTGCAAAAATAATTTGGTGCAATTGTCTACTAAATTATTTGAAAGAATATTTACTATAACAGTAATACTTGCTATAATTTGTGCTGCCTATCTCATTCACCTGATCCAAGCAGTAAACTAGCTTGACACTACTTAATGGTACTATGAAACAAGATTGCAGCCAAACCAGAGCAGCTGATGATTCTTCCAACTTTCCCTTCCCAGTTTATTGCCTGGCAAATCTTCTTTCAAACTCTTCTCTTATGATCCCACTCAAACAAAGAAAAAAATAATAATGACTAATAAACACATTGAACTGAAATCAAGGGTGTTTAAAAAAAATCCTATCTTATTAGCAAGCAAGAATTAACTTTGAGGAAGTAAAAAGAAATTAATAATCTCAGCCTTTACATGGTAAATGGTCTCTGTTTATGTATTTGGCTGACTTAAAAACCAAGGGTAAGGTAGCCAAGTCATAACCACCATCAACAGCTGGAAATTGACTGCAGAGTCTTCATTTCTCAAGCACTAACTAGTTCCAGTACAACCCCAAGTCAAGACAGGTCAGAGAGATGCAAAAATGTCAGCCAAGCACTGATCCAAAACTACAAATAATCAGATGAGAATGTGACCGATTCATAAGAAAAATTTATTAATTAAATTGAATTAATTAAATAAAATCCTAGCATTGAATACCTCTTAATAACCTCTAATTCACTTGGGACTAGTAATACTTCACTACAGCTTTCCAGGAAAGCTACTGCCTTACTTTGAGTATTTGCAACCAGCAAATCGAATTTCAGGCTGAAAATGCAAGCCAGCATTCTGTCTATCAATTAGTACTAACCCTGCCCCTGGACTAAAGAAATCTGTACTTTGACTGCCCTGCTATTTTGCAAATGCTTGCTCTAAGACAGTCAGATCTTATCCAAGATCACTGCTACTTATATATCAGGACTGAAAAACGTATGAAATGTGGGGAACAGCACTCTAAGGGTCATATTTAATGCAGTTAATAAACACTTACAGCCTGAAACATTTTCTAAGGCTGAACTCAAAGGATGGCCAGTTAGAAACAGTTACAACTGAAACAGAGTCATACAATGAATGAAACTACACCGTGCACAGCCTACAGAAGATGCATATTCTAGAATAAATCTCTACATTTACTTTTCTGTATTTACTTTCACGGGTGCTTTATTTGCTGCTTTTCCAATCCAATGAAACACTAGTGGCAAAACATTCAAAGGAGACTCAATTTAGGTTTCTCAGCATAAACTTGGAGAAGGAAGAAACGCACAGACTATCGAACAGTAAGAGACATTGCTGTAGAACACCTAGAAAAATAAGGCCACTTCTATTTAGGAGCCCAAAACACTGATCCAGTGATCTAACTAACAATATCGACCTAATATATTCAGAGACACACCTAGCTTCTAAGATATTTAACAAATAAAAAAACTCAAACCCAGCAAACTGACAAAAAAAGAACTATTTGACTGCAACCTTTCTGAAACAGAAAGGTGAGCGCTATGCCAAATAAAGGAAACTGCCTCAAGAAGTAAGGAAGATAAAGTAACACATAAGAATCACATGCATGGAGAAACAGACAGTTTCTACTTTCATGGGAAAAGGCGGTTTTTACATATTTGTGTAAATTACACATGCAAGAAACCTGTATTCTTATGCCAATACAGAAAGGGGAAAAGAATCAATTTTTCTAACTCTGGCAGGAAGATTTGCCATTTTAAGACATGTGCT